AAGCAATGCGACCATTAGAGATTTAGAATTTAGTTAAACATGTTAAATTTATGGAGAAGATGCTTATTGATTGGAGGAACAAGTTTATATCATATAGACCCAAATTGAATCAGGCTTTGACTTTAGTCTCATGGTGTGTAGCAGGAAAGCAACCATAAAAGCAAACGATCAAGTTAAGATGTATGTAGTCTGGTGTTTTTATGATTTTCTCCTAGTTATTTTAACTAATAGATTGGTTATTGAAGCAGGCACAATGTTTACAAGGTAAGGCATGCAAAAGAGTCGGGGAAATTATATTTTTTTCTTTAGTTTTGGAATCCAGAAAATATGACAGTGAAATTGAAGAAGAAACAGATAGTAAGTTGAGCATAATGAATATCAATGAATAGTTATATTTGTTTGAGTAGAAGGGTGATATTGTATCTTAACCAAGAGTAGACTGAAGGGTGATGTTATATCTTGAACAAGAGTAGTAACTAGTAACCAGAGAAACATGTTCTAAAGATTAAAGAAGGGAATGATAGAAGAGATAGCTGGAAAAGATGATACAAGCCAAAATATTTTTGAGTATAAATATACAATGGTTGTATAACATCTTGATTAAGGGTATTTATCAGAGAAATTGATTGTCTTCTTATAGATTAAAGAAGAGAATGGAAGAATATATTAGGACAAGTGAAGAAGAGGATACAAGACGAAACTATTTAGAAATACTACTTTTAGGGGATGTTTAATTAGGTGGAAAATGGATGGAAACCCATTAATGGAAACCAATTTCTAGAATCGGTTCTCTCTTTTCTTGGTGGGATTGATGTATTTTTGGGAAATGAGTTGTTTTCCAAAAGTATAGGTATTGTGCCATATTTTAGGAAAACCCATTTCCTAACAAAATTACAAAAGATGGGTTGGAGACCCGTTTTTGGGGTTTTCCCCCTAAAATTTGATTTCTTGTGTTTTTAGGAAAACAACCAAATAGCCTCTTAGGCAGGGTTCTGGTGGAAAAGAAATAGAAGATGAGATATTTCAGAAATTCAACTTTTGTTTAGTGTTCATGTTAATTTATTAGTTTTAGGTTAAATACCATCTCTAACTTGTTATGCCAGATGGAAATATCCTAGGTTTTTAAGAGGATCTATGCGAAATTCCTCCAAGAATAGTGTATATGATTCATTAGTTTGATAACTGATAGATATTCTCTTCTTATCAACGTGGCCTAGAAATCCTACCCTTATATGGACTTTCAAAGAACCTATTGTGAAGAGATTCTGACTAATTAAATCTTATATTGATTGATCATTGAAATAAATCGTATAAAAGGCAAGGATTGTTTGACATTATCCTAAACTATTTTTCTGGTGGAACATAGAGTGTGCTGAAATTAGGGAATATGGAGTGCTGAACATTGGGGTTGCTTTTCGAGGTTTTTTTTCCAGTTTGCCCCTCAGTAATTTTATGGTATTATAAGTTGTGAGGTATTTCTTGGGTTTTAAAGAGCGTGACTTACATGGAGTAGAAAATCAGAAGTTTGTGACCAAGAGGCTAAGTTCTTTTAAATAACTTATAAGTTTTCTGGTGCATGCGATGCGTGTATGACATAAGAACGTGGGATGTTGAAGTAGTGGAACGTGAGGATGTTAAACTTGGGTTTTGTTTTTTGGATTTTTCCAAGGGTTTCCCTCCCATGAGTTTAAAGCATGATAAATGTGAGGGTATTTCTTGTGTTTTTAAAAGTCACATGGGGTAGAATACCAAAAGTTTGCAACTAAAAGCTAGCTTCTTTTAAATAATAGTAATAGATTTACATCCTTATCCCAGTCTAAGTTTGCATCAATTTTGCTCACTTCCGTTATCATTAAAGTTTATCTTAAAGTTGGCTCCATATATAGATACGTAAGTATCTAAGTCATCATTCATGCTGTCAACGTAAGGGTTGCCTTTACGGTTTCGGAGGTGGTAAATCAATATCATACTAGAGATTACTTGACCACTATATGGGACATGCCACTAGCACCGTGACTCGTGATTCTCAGTTGATTAGGATTCATGTGGCAAAGGGCGCTTGGTTACTACTATAGGATAATCAAATATTTTTATTCCATATGATGTATTTCTGTATCACTCTGTGTCTTTGTAGACTATCCTGGTGGTGTGAGTGGATTAGAAATATTAAATTCAGTTCCTTGTGTAAGGTAATATTTAGTAGTCATGCTTTACAGGTTAAGCTGGTAGTATCGTTGATGGTTAAGTAGCAAAGGTAATTGGGAGACCAAGCTTTAGAGTTTATTGCGATTCTTTTACTCACCAAGAGTCTAAGATGAAAAAGTCCTAACATATAAACGAAGACGGAGTGCAAAGATGATGTCCCGAAGCTTTCATGTGCTATCCAGTGTTTTATTTGCTTTATTGTAAATCCTTGTAGAAATCGACAATTGAATTCCTCTATCCTAATCTAAAAGAAAAGTTACCAAAGATTCCAAACACTTACTTTCTCGACAAGTTTCTTTCCATCATTCTTGCCTCGTGTCTCTTGCGTAGCTATAACTAATCATGGTTGAAGATGGCTGATAAAACCGATATGCACTACTTGTACACTAGCCTGCTGTGTGCTTAACAATTTAGATTTAATCCAAATAAGTGTGTCGTGAGCACGTGCAATATAGTAACAAATTGAGAGGATTTTCAAACAGTCACAAGCAATTTTGCAAGCAGATTTGTCGCGGAATAGACTCACATTTTATTAATCTGACTGAACTTTTACCAATCAATGTCAACATTATGCGAATTATTCATTAATAACAGTGTTCAATGGCAAATCCCTTCTTTAAGATATATGAACTGCTAGCATAAGGACCCAAGCCTTCTTCATCGCCTTCTTCATTTCCTTTTTATCTATAATGCAGATGTCCTGATTGCTTTCCTTTTTGTTTATAATAGAGTTCTAATTCATATATTGACACACTTACATGAGACACTATTCTACTAAACCGCTCCCATGCGTTTCTAGCTTCTATCTAATTTATTATAGAGATGATTTGTTGTAAAACTAGTTTCATATGGAATTTCTTTTTTTGGTTTTCAATGAAAGAAATAATTGATGGGTTCGTGTGTGTTGTGTGAATCAGAAACATATCCTATCTCTGCCAATATCTAGTGTGGAACTATTGCCAATTGGATCATGGATGTACTGGTTCCTTTTTTTTTTTGCCCCCCTGAATCCCGAAGTTTTGAACTTCACAGAGTAGCATCTGACACTAAATTTTTGGCTATGCTTCCAGTACCATCAAAACCAGTAGTCTTGCAAGCGATTTAGTTGAAAATCAATTTCATTTGGAAGAACGTAAGATGGCTACTACTAAAATCCGTAGTAATACTTCAAAACCTGTAATAGCATCGACTCAAATATGATTATGGCATCCACTGTTGTTATGACTGTTGGATGTGATAACTTCTAAAAACATATCACAGTGTGTTTTTCCTCTATTCATGGATATGAATGCATGTGCCTTTATTCTACAGGGCTTGACAGTTTGCTTCTGATTTAATTTTGAGTTAGAGATTCTTAAGTTTGATAATCCATCATGAATCATGTGCCTTTGAACTGTAGGGCTTGACAAGTGTGTTTTAATTTTTGAGTTGGTCATTTTTAAGTGCAGTGTTCTTAAGGCTATCATATTTCTCATTTGCAGTAGAAAGGTAGTGTGCATCTTGCGTTTGTGAAATTTGATGAAATTTGATGAAATTCTAGGGACCAAAATATTGTTAGATCATTTTGATGAGGATTGTCCTGAGTCTAACCATTAAGTATTGTTTCATCTCTTGTTGATTTTTAAGTTGCTGTACAGCTAAATGAACAATGTGGCAATTGCAAACTATATTTATTATTAATAAGTGGGAGCATCCTCAACGGGAATACAACAAAAAAAAGCTATTTAGGTGTCATTATCACGAGGAGAATCATCAGAAAAAATTCTATGTTTATCCTGCACATGCATAGCACTATACGGGCAACCTGACAAATGTGTATATTCAGAACTCCTTTCTCGAGAATAGTAGATGGCTGGAGAATAATAACTTTCAAACCTTTTGCCCTTCAATTCTAGGAGGAACACTGTGTCACAGTGTGGTGCCTGGTGCAATAGTCCTTTTTATCATAAATTTAAAGCTGTAGGACCATGATGAAAGCTACCAAATGCTTATGGACATTCAAGATTCCATCTAAGAATCAATTAACTAGCTGGCCATTATATCGAAGATCTGTTGATATATATAACCCCATAGTATCAATCCTCCATCCTTTGTTTTTCCCCTTCATTTTCCACATTAAGTGAGATGGATTCCGTAACATAAAAATTGTTATGTTATTTAATACCTGTCAGTACGCTCCACTCTTCATTCATTATCCTCTGTCCTTCCCCCCTTCATTTATCAACTTAAGTTAAATTTCTGTGTAATGAGAGATTGGTCCATTGATATGTGGTTAATCAGTCAAACAACCAAGATTCTTCATGTAGTATTTCTAGGAAAAACTTTTCAGAAGTCTCTTTTTTTAAAAACCTTTTCCCTTTTTCTTTTGGGATGGCTGAGGTAGCAGGGTTAAATTGTAAGATGAGGCTTTCCTCAGAAACTGATAGGTTTTCCAACAAGCTACCCTTGTACTTGTGGCTCACATTGGAATCTCTGGACCCTGGGAAAGAGAATCTCCTATTAGTGTGCGTCCATTCCATGATTACTATCTTAAAGCTAATAATAGTACTCGATAAAAATAGTGATAAAACCAGGTTATGCTATTTTCTTGAGTAGATTTAATAACAAGTTTTGTAATGGTATTTGTAGCGTAGGATGGTATCTTTTATCTTGTGATCAAAGATAAAAAAAATCTAGCTACACTGATAATGGTGGCAACATCAGGCCCTCTCATATGATTTATTTATTTTCTTGCTTTGATTTTGTTTCTTGCTGTAGTTTATATTTCATAAAATAAAATATTAACATTTTTGCAGATATGAAACCACTTCGTCCAAGCGAAACCGCTGCCTAGCAAAGGAGATTGCTACGGGAGCTATCGCATCTGTGTTCTTGGTAAATGTAGTTTGCGTATGTTTTAGCGCTCAAGTCAGCATCAATGCTTTATTTCTCTTGTACAATGTTAAACCTGCCTTTTGTGTTTCCATGCAGGGCTTCGGATCTCTTTTCTTGCTCCTTTCTACTGGTGTTTATGTTTAGTTTCAAGCTGAGCAAGTTTAGATCCAGATAGGGTTTTAGCAATGAGGGCTATTTCTTGGGAGTTTTTCAGTAACGTGGGAAAGTGTTAAAAGGATTTCATATTTGGATATGGTCGCCTTTTGTTTTATCTTACTATAAAGTTTTACTGGACTTCAGACTCCTGAAATTTTCTTTTATTGAAACTTTAAGTAATAGTGTTCTTCCAGTTCTCTCTCGGGTTTTAATTAATTAATTAATTTCACTGCATCTGATCGCGAGTTTTTGACATGGGAAAGCATGCGTTGACTGAAACAAAGTGAGAGTAACCGAGCGATCTCACTTTATTGCCAACTTCAAATCTGGATTTCGTTGGCGATAGCCTATTGTCGAAGTTCATGCTGATGAGATGAACTGTCATCAGCTTTCTACATATTCCCTTCCCTTGCCTCTTTGTGTAGCTTCGGGGGCTTTATACACAGAGAGATAAAGGAAAGCGAATTGTCTCTCTGAGTCGCATCAGGTTAAAAGATTATGCTTTCAAAATGTAGTGTAATCATACGAAATCGTGATTAAACAATCCTGGGATATTCTGATAAGGCAGTAATTCTTGGCTTTGGGTGTATCCCGTTTCTCTGGATCCAATTACGCCATTGCCAATGTCCAAAACCAAAATCTTTCACTGAAGCCTTTTTGAGCCTTTTTTTTTTTTTTTTTTTTTTGGGGATAAATTGCGGACTAACCCCCTGTAGGTTGTAGTTACATTGTTTTGGATAGATACCTGAAGGTTTTTATTTTTCCTTTTTTCACTCTTTTACCCTAGAGTAATGATTTATTTTTGGACAAATATACATCTTGAGGGGCAAAAATTCAACCGACAAAAAAAAAAAAGAGAAACTTAGGGGTCTTTCCACAATTGAGAAATAGCAGAAGGGGTCTATCTGCAATGATAGAACGGGTCTATATGCAATTGGGCAATAATGCAAAGGGCCTGTCTGCAATTAACCCTTTTATGTGCTCGCGTTCACGGGAGCGAGCGTAGACCCGGAGCTCAATGCTTAAACTATTTTCAGAAGTCTGGAAGATGGCATAATATTCCAGATATCTGCCCTTCACGACCTACAGATATTTGGATCAGGCATATACTTCAGCTGCAGCGCTGTTCATGTACGGCACTCAGCTTCAGCATTTAACATGGGTGTTCAGTTACAAGGAGTCGCAAAAATGATTAATTTTACTAGAAGTCATAAAAATGATAAATGATATTATACAAGTTATTTTATCTATACAAGTTACGTTTCTATATTCCTGGGTCCCTATATCATAACCAGTGCCATTGTTTCACATAGAAGAACGCTAAAACCCCCTCCTCACAAATTTGTTATCACTTCAACTCTCCTTTCTTAGCCTCGTTCCCCATCAGAACAAAACTCCCTTTCTCTGCGGCAAAATCATGGAGACCT